AGCAGCGCCCTCCTTTCCCACATACCATGCAAAGCCCATTGAGTGCTGTGGTTTTCCTGTTAACGTGCAGCAGCAGTAACCAAACTAACCCCCAACCCCATTCTCTGGGTTGATCGCTTTACCCCTCCCTCCACCACGTGGCTGGTATCAGGGAAGATTCCTGCTAGCCAAACGCGAAAAGCTCAGTGCCAATTCCCCCTCCCCCTGCTTGGCTAGCTGCAGGGAAGGATTTATTTTCAGCCACAGGCAAACAGCCCAGTAGGAACGGCCACCTCTGTCCCCTTAATTAAATTCCCGTATTTCAACCAGGTTACCATGAATGATATCACTCTCCTGAGGATAACATAGCGAGATAAAGAACGGATGTTGCGTGAATGCCAGCAAACACCGGGACCATACGCTGCCAGGCTTTGTCATGCAATGATACCAGATTACTTGCTACTAGCATGGCGCGGTCAAGTGTCCTACCCTGGAGGATGGAATAAGGCTGCACTGCCCACAAACCTTCTGGAAAGGCTTTTGGAGTACCTCCAGGAGAGCTTCATGGAGATGTCCCTGGAGGATTTCCGCTTCATCCCCAGACACGTTAACAGACTTTTCCAGTAGCTGTACTGGCTGCGAATGCATCCCAAGCCCTCAAGGCAAATTAATCATTAAAAAAAGCTTGCTTTTAAACCATGTTTTATATTTACAAAGGTAACTCACCAGAGGTCCCTTCATGGTCTGAGCTAATCCCCTGGGAGGGTACTTCAGTCAGGCTGAGAAAAAGACCCTGGCTGTTGGGGAGAACGGAGTTCTGTGTGCTCTCTGCAAGCTCGTCGTCGTCGTCCTCCTCATCATCTTCCCAGTCCGCAGAATCTTCAGGCATGGCTGAGATTATCCTCTCCTTGGACTCCACGGTCGGGGTGAGGTAGTGGTGGCGGCCCCCCCTAGAATTGCATGCAGCTCAGCATAGAAGCGGCATGTCTGCGGCTCTGCCCCGGACCTTCCGTTTGCTTCTTTGGTTTTCTGGTAGGCTTGTCTGAGCTCCTTAACTTTCACGCAGCACTGTAGTGAGTCCCTATTGTGGCCTCTCTCCATCATGCCCTTGGAGATTTTTTTTAAATGTTTTGGCATTTTGTTTTTTGGAACGTAGTTCTGCTAGCACGGAATCCTCTCCCCATATAGCGATCAGATCCAGTACCTCCCGTACAGTCCCTGCTGGTGCTCTTTTTCGATTCTCGGACTGCATGCTTACCTGTGCTGATGAGCTCTGCGTGGTCACCTGTGCTCTCCATGCTGGGCAAACAGGAAATGAAATTCAAAAGTTCGCGGGGCTTTTCCTGTCTACCTGGCCAGTGCAACCGAGTTCAGATTGCTGTCCAGAGCGGTCACAATGGTGCACTGTGGGATAGCTCCCGGAGGTCAATATCGTCGAATTGCAGCCACACTAACCCTAATTCAAAATGGCAATATCGATTTCGGCGCTACTCCCCTCGTCGAGCAGGAGTACAGAAATCGATTTTAAGAGCCCTTTATGTCGAAGTAAATGGCTTCGTTGTGTGGACGGGTACAGGGTTAATTTGATTTAACACTGCTAAATTCGAACTAAACTCATAGAGTAGACCAGGCCTAGGTGTCTAATTTCTTTTTTTGCATCCGGGCCACCGTAACTTGAGTAGGTCTTTGCAATGTGGCTGCTTACACCCAGGTGCTGATCACCTGGGCTACTGTGCAGCAAAGACATATTCTAATTCTCAGTGTCTCTGTTTTTGGGTGTTCAAAGTTGGAGGGCTTGATTTCAGAGGCAGTCAGAAGCCAAAATTCCAGCCAAAGTCAATGGGAGCTGTGGATGCTCAGGCCCTTTGAAAATCAGGCCCAAGCTATTTCAAGTCAGATATGAAGAAGCTGACACCCAAGAACTGTGGCCATTTTTGAAAACGTTAGTTTGATTATCTATAGTCACGTTCTGATGGGCTACTTGAGCCTGTATGTTACACCTGTGCACCAACTCCCAGTAGTCCATGGATAGAATTTCATCATTGACCCCCACACAACGTTAAATTAAGTGTGTAGGAAAGTTAATGGAGTGGAGAAGTGAAACATCCTCTGAGAATTGTGGGAGGGAGAGATAGTAAAGAGACATTGGGAGTGGGTGAAAAAAAGGGACAGTTGGTTCTGTCCTGCCTGTGGAACTCTGCATTATGAGGGACTGTGTCCTCACACAACTTCTGGGGGAGGTATGATAGCAGAGAGCAGATAGGACATATTCTTACCCCTCTCCCCATTCAACTGCAACCTTCAGGATTACTTTCACAAGCAGTGCCATATGTGGGCAAAGTACTCCAGGCTTTTGAAGAGCCAACAGAGAGACGATCTCTTCTGCTCAGCCTGTTACTCCCAGTAATACTGGAGATAGCAATTTTACTTGAGCAAGGAAGCTGGAATGTAAGACAAGTGTAAATCAAGAGATTTAGAGACCAATTCTCTTCTCTGTGGAGCAATTCCATTGACAGCAGAAGCGTTACCAGTGAGTGGAGAATCAGGCCCTACAATTTATTTGTGGTGGTAGGAAGAAAGCTTTGCCTGATGAAGTTATCTTTAACATCGAAATTCACTGCTGTTCCTCCTATTTTCTCTTTCAAGTGCCTAACACCTGGGAAATAATGCCTAGGAACTTCCTCTCTGCATCTCTGATCAAAGGCCACTTTTAAAGAGCATGTGTGTGTTGATACTCCCTGCAGGTTTGTAAAGGTTAGGGTGCTAATGTTTTCTAAATTGTTTTAGTTTCTTACAAGACCAGTAGCTACAGCTGTGTTAAATGTTATGATTTTTATAACTAAAAAGTAACTGTAAAAGCTCTTATTCTTTACAATAAAATAAAAAATAATAATTCAATTCAGCATGTACTCCCTGTTTGTAAGGTTTCTTGGTAGAGTTGAGTTTAACCTGTCATTGCTGCATCTGCTCTTAGGTCTTCTGAAAGAGGATGTGCTAATGGACCTGGCATACAGCGAAAAGTAGTCATGTGTAGAATAGAGCAGTACTGTAGAACTCAGGTGGAAAGACCATCTGCAATACCAGTGTTTCTTGTCCTCTCTGGTGTAGGATGCATAAGTACAGCTGAAGTGAAGACTTGTTTTGAGGTACTGTACTTGAACCACACCCGCAATATCTGGGTGCATTTTTGTATGTGGATGAGAGATATTGGAAATACTATAGGCACTAAATACTGCATTCACCAGTGGCAGAACTATCTTTATTTTAGTTTAAGTAGCCCGTATGCAGCTTGACAGCACTTAAAGAAAGTGGCACTGTGGTTAAGGCAGTTGACTAGACCTCAGGAAATCTGAATTCAATTCCTAGCTCTATCATGGGCTTCCTGTGTGACTTCATCTGTAAAATGGAAATAAAAATACTTACAGATCTCACAGGGGACCCCAGGATAAATTCATTAAATGACTAACACAGACAGATTCTGCAGTGATGTGACTATACACGTATCTAAATACACATCATCCAGAAAGAAAATTAAGGAACAAGTAAACCTCATGCATAATAAAGAGAAATGCAGTATTGAGAGTTACTTGGCTAACAGCCATACAGTTCCCCATTCATTGTAATGGAAGCTGCAAAGCTAAAAGTACCCTTTAAATTGTAAGGTAGTACATAATTGAAACTATATTCCTGAGTCCAGAACCAATTCGAACCCGTGTACATGACCACTAGACTAGGAAAAAGGTGCTTTTAGAAACTGAGTTAGCTAATATGAATGCTCTCTATAAATATATCAGAGGGATAAATACCAGGGAGGGATAGGAATTATTTAAGCTCAATACCAGTGTGGACACAAGAACAAATGGATATAAACTGGCCATCAGGAAGTTTAGACTTGAAATTAGATGAAGGTTTCTAACCATCAGAGGAGTGAAGTTCTGGAACAGCTTTCCAAGGGGAGTAGTGGGGGCAAAAGACATATCTGGCTTCAAGACTAAGCTTGATAAGTTTATGAAGGGGATGGTATGATGGGATAGTCAAAGATCAATTAATTGCCAAAATTAGGCTATTAGCGGTAAATATGCCCAACGGCCTGTGATGGGATGTTAGATGGGGTGGGATCTGAGTTACTACAGAGAATTCTTTCCTGGGTGTCTGGCTGGTGAGTTTTACCCATATGCTCAGGGTTTAGCTGATCGCCATATTTGGGGTCAGGAAGGAATTTTCCTCCAAGGCAGATTGGCAGAGGCCCTAGGGTTTTTTAACCTTCCTCTGCAGCGTGGTGCATGGGTCACTTGCTGGAGGATTCTCTGCACCTTGGAATCTTTAAACCATGATTTGAGGACTTCAATAGCTTAGACATAGGTTAGGGGTTTATTACAGGAGTGGGTGGGTGAGATTCTGTGGCCTGTGTTGTGCAGGAGGTCAGACTAGATGATTATAATGGTCCCTTCTGACCTTGAAATCTATTACTCTAATATATCACCTCATATAGGCACAATTTAACAACTTCCAAATTGTGTTCATTGGCTGTGTTTATCCCAAATTCTCCATCAATGGAATATCTAGATTGGAAAACTGGTCGAGGTAAGGTTAAGGTTAGCAACAACATGTTACTTAACCTCCATCATGTGCTAGTCTTGACATGCCCAACCTTATCACACAATGAGCTAACACACTTGTAACTGCATCTATGCTATGTGTTAAGGCTGCTTTCAAACTTAAATTTTAAAAAGTCAATTTTTCTAGTCTATTCCTCATGTAGACAGGTCTTCAGGATTTGTCTAACTAGAGTTTGTGGTCCCATTTTAACTTGAGTTAATAACTGACTGCCAATTAATTTAAATTAGCTAATGCAATAGTAAATGCTAGTTTAAACACTCCACAAATGTTTGGTGTGTCCTCGAACAAACATTGATGGAGTGTCATGGCTAGCATTTCTCTTTAACTTAGGTATCTGAGAAAATCAACATCATGAAAACAAGAGCAAAGTTTGCAATGTAAAAGGAAGAAATACAAGACTATTTTTAAGAGAGGAAAAGGAAAAACTTTAGTTAAAATATTTTACAATAAAATAATTATGATTATAAATCTCTTTAGTTAAATATGTACACATTACATGGTATTTTAAAAAAGAATGGAACTGGTTAAAGTTTTCAAGCAAATCTAATGCACAAATCCACCATCTTGTCAGCTTTAGATTGTAATGTCAGTTTAACATTCATAAATGGCTGTGTCAGACTAATGGCACTGCTTTGTGCAAAACATAAACAAAATTAAGAAAAAATTCTGCAAAATCCTTCGGTTCCCATGGTAAATTGCTAAAAAAGGTAGTACATACAACACACATTGTGATTGTATACAGAGGTTAGAATGACCAGCACTAATATAACCCCCATATCTACAAAATAATTAACTCCTTGGGTAGCTTTAGTTCTTGTAAACTACAAATTCTTAGTCCTAGCAAATTGTGCTTTTAGGCAGCCACATGGCCAATAAGGTAGATGTTGTCATAAAGGTGCCCTACAAAATCTTCACTAATGTTCTGAGCAGCACGTCGTGTGTTTCGGATAAATTCTCTCTTTGACATTTTGTTCTTCACATGAGGGCTGGTAAGATCAATGGAAAGCAGAATCAAAGAGTAGCATAGTACATAAACTGCATCTAAAGAAAAGAGAACATTATGAAGTTATTGTTTACGGAACCATAAGTATGGATGCCACTTTACAGGCAACTAAAATGACCAGTCCCTGCTCAAGGATCTTACAATCTTAAGGGCTTCCTTGAATAAATATGCACATGAGTAACTTTACTCACATGAGTAGCTCATTGAAAACAATTTATTCTTACTAAAAAGTTATAAAGGCCAGGAATTCACCCTATTTGCTTCAGTGGGATTATTCACAGGGTGTAAAGTTAAGCTTATGTGCAAGTCTTTACAGGCTCAGAACCTATAGAGACCACAGAGATAAAAGGCAGACAAGGGAGAAGGAAAAAGATTCAACACAACAATTTTTTTAAAATCACTTTTTGTACATGGAAGTTGTTTGCCTATCAGGTATGTTTTAGGAAAATCAGTAAGTCAAAAGGTTTTTTTTTTTATTACTATTGTCTGTATTACTGTAGCTCCTGACAGGGAGGAGTTTGTATGCTTATTGTGTACAATATGCGCAGACCTGACCCTCTCCCAAGACTAATCTTTCTATCTTTAGAAAAATTTAATTAGACCCTGATTTAAACCCACTATGAAAAGTAACATTTTCCAAAGTATATGTAGATAAATATAGTCTGATTCACTGCACAGAAGTCCTCTCTTCTTACCAGGGCTAAGGCCAAGCTCTCTCATCAAATCAGGATTACAAGCACAGAATCTGTGTGAGAACTTTGTTATAAGAGTCTCAAGATACTCCCCACGCTCCTCAGGGGCATGAATGTGTTTGAAAAACTCTCTCAGTGCATTTGGCAAGAACTGATTTCTGAAGTTGTGCAGTGTCACAAGGTCATCCAAAACATCTCTCCTGGTTGAAAAAAAAAAAATAGAGAAATTTCCTTTCTTCTGTTTAAACATTAAACAAAGTTTCAGAAATTAAAATGAAGATTTCTTAGAGTCTGAATTATAGGTATTTTCTGTCATGAGAAAATGAAGGAAAAATCCAACAATGATAAAACAAGAACAGGAAACACGTTCCTGAGACTGCTACGTAGTGTACAGTTCAGCCTAATACTTTAGAGAAATTATAATAAAGCAATATTCTAAATTTGCACACACAGAGTACAGAGGAAATTGAGGCTGCAACAATACCTGACAAAGCTAAGGAAACCACAGTAAAAGGAATAAATATACAATATGCCTTTCAGGGCCTATATACATTAACAAGCAGTTAAGGCAGCATTCTGTTAAAACCAGGCTCAACTAAGGTGATATTCACTCATGGTGCATAGGGCCGGCATACAGACCCTCCACAACACTTAGTTTCCATGGGAGTGCATGCTCCATCTATCCCCTGAATATCAAAAGGGCTCGGCATGCAAGGGAAATCTGGAAGCCAGCCAGGGGAGAGGCAAGAGATCCACAATGTACTGATCCAGTGGCTGAAACATCCCAAGTAGGGGCTGTGGAGCATCAGTATCAAGAATTCCAGCCTATGGTCTACTCTTTTGCACATCTACAATTCCCACATCCCAGTCCAAACATAGTGTCTTGCTTAAAGCCTGGTTACGCATTCTTTGGGGAGGAAAGGTGAATTGCATTCTTAAGAAACAGGAAAAAATATACACAGCAAAATATTAATAACATTTCAGTGCTAGACAGCACAAAGATCGCCTATGTAAGGTGACATTCCAGTTACAAATATAACTTAAGCTTGGAACTGAAAATGTGGAAAGAAGTACACTATCTGACCTTTAATAGATAAACACAGTATGCTTATATACAGTGGTGCATACACACACATGCTAGAACTGAGTAAATGTTCTGCTTTAGGAATAATATATTTTAGCTGAATCTCCGTGTTTGCTCTTTACTTCAAATTTTTCTAATTAAGATTATTTTTCATTAGATTAGTACACATAAGAAGAGTGATTACAGAAAGGTATTACAGACTGAAAATGAATATAGCATTTTCCCCTCATTACAGATTCAAATTACCTTTCATCAAGATAGATCCTCAGTTTCTTCCAATTTAGTGTTCTTGTACAAAATATAAACTTAGCTATTTCCTTTGGTGAATCATCCAGTATACCCTTGGACATAAAGTAGTTAACTCCCTGAGACAAAAAAAAAAAAGACATTTGTATATAAATAAGATTGGTCTTAACAAATCTTTTATGGGAAAATATTGTAATGAGTAATATTGGAACATAAGACTGCTAATGTTTTAGCATAATACCTCCTTCATCCTCTAAATGGCATTTCAACATGCACAATACAATCTAAAATTAATATAAATCAAATGCAAATAAGATTAATGTAACATTATGGTTGAAATTTTACATGTACTAACAGTAGGAAATTCAAAATTACATATCCCACAGCAAGCATAATTTGGCTCTGTTGTATTTTCTCTTACTATTTTTCTGTCATCATATGTATATACACGGTGATTAAATTATGTTTGTTGTAGGGACCATAATTTATAATTTCCTAACTATGGTGCATATAAAAATCTTGGCCATAATGTGCTTTTTGCCTTTAATTTCTTTTTATTTAAAACATTGATTTCAATGTTCTTCCATGTGTATGGGTTCACATTCAAATAAATGCACTATATACATTTAATTAAATGTATAATAACTCAAATAAATGCAAGTGTGTTTATTCAAAGTGCAGATCCAGATACACACACATATACGTACAGTATATATGTATAAAAAAATCCAACAGCACTCTGCCTCTCCCTAATTTAAAAAAAAGTTTAGAAAGTGACAGAATGAACATATACCTCTATTCACTTATTTATTACTTCTACATTACAACCATTTTTTCACACTTTGCCAAGCACACACTTCTCACTGAGAAATATGTACATGCCAAATTTGAACATGTAAATACAATATTTAAAATATTTTTGGATGCTTTTCTTGAATTTAGATATCTCAAAGCATGAAAACTACTTTTGTCATGGTCTTATAATTCAAAAGCAGCTTACTGGATTTTAACCAAAAATTTTGGGGAGGGGTGGGGAAAAGGAGAAAAAAGAAGAACAGCCATGACAAATTTAAACTCAGAGCGTAACTTTTTTGGGAAGGGGCTTAAACTCAAATTGCGTCTTCAGCAGTAAATATGGCATCACTACCATGATAGTATAATGCTGAAATATGTAAAAATGTGCAATCTAATGCATTCTCTTAATTTGCTTTAGACATCAGTGTATCAGTGCAACTCCCTAAATCACCAAATAAGATAACCCTTACAATTTTTTTTCTCATTATAAATCTTCCGATTCCAGGTACTTTACAATATATTGCAAATTTCCCCTTTTGGTTTAAATAATATCTATAAAGACACAGTGGGGGCAACCTAGCACTTTGTTTATAAGCAACCTTCCCAATGATGACAATTGAAGTTCTGCATAAATAAGAAGTGCAGGACAGCTTTTAATCTGGAACGTTATTTTATAAAAAGTGAGACAGTTAAGTAAGACAGAAAAGCTGAACCATGTCAAGCAAACTAGAAATGAAACTAGAAAATAAACCTTGAGATGATGACCAGGGACTTCACTTCAGAGACCTAAAACTCAGGGAAAGACTAGCACACACATATACAACACACATAATATGCTATTTAGCCTTTTTTTAATATTTTTTTTACACTGGTTCATAATTTGTTTTTATATTTGTGGAAAATGTTACTTGAAGTAACATAGTTCTTTGGTTATAATCAAAACAATGTTTTAAATATATGCAACAAATTAAATATATGCAAACAATTTTCTGTTAGGAACAAGGAATCTAGGCAACTTTAGGGCCTGATTCAGGTAAGCATCCGTATTCAGGGCAGCACTTAAGCATGTGTTTAAATTAAAGCATGAACTTACGTATGTGCTTAATACCCATTGACCTAATTGGGATTTATCTGGGCTTTTTCGAATAGGAATGGCCTTAAACCCATGCTTAAGTGCTTTTCTGAATCAAGGCTTAAATGGGAAACTAAAATGGATTATCAAAATGATTAAACAATTGCTCACTGATGCCTCAGGATTTTGACAATTGCTTAAATATGACAAAAAGCAAAACAGCAACACTACAATATGTCATTACATCTTCTGTTTAACTCTGCCTCCTTAATCTTGCATCCTGATTCAACAAAACACTAAAGTACGTGCTTAACTATAAGCATGTGCTTAAAGTGTTCAGGTGAACTGGGGCCTTGAGGAATATCCTATTTTTAAACAAGCTGTGTCCTCACAGCACTTACTCCTCTTACTACAGTGTTACTAAAAGAGGGAGACATTGGACAATCTGAACAGAAATGGATTTACCATCTACTTTCACAATGAAAAAAAGTCCCTGTCTCTATAGAGACAATCTGAAATTGTTCTCCCAGAGCTGGGAGATGCTGCAAAACATTTCTGTGCTATATAAGGCTCTTTATGACCAACAGTGTGTTGTTGGTACTCATTGTACAAGGTACCAGCTCCTCATTTGACATCCTCAACCCACCCTAGCTCTGCTTCCTTCTTTTATTGTATCTTCTTCTGTCAATGTCATCTCCTCACTCATTTCCTTTTCCTCTTTTTCACACACACAAGGTGTGATTGTATATTCATTTCAACACAATAACAGTGCCACTTTTGAGTTGCTGTTATTTCTCCCCAAATAACAAATACTTTGAACCAAATTGAAATGGTTTCTTTTTTAAGATTTTCCCTATTTTTTGTTTGCTCACATTGAGTGAACGTTATTTGTAAGGACACTGGACAATCTGCTCGCTGTTGTATCATACTGTTGTATGTTTATGGCATCTCTGTCACCTTCCTCCCCCACAAAATAAATCACCTTTATTACGCATGTTCAGCTATCAATGTACACTATTTGAAGGGCATAATTCTACAAGAAAGCTAAAACTAAATGTCAGATAATCCGCTTTAAAGTCCCATTGCACTGATCCGTCTTAAGCAGGCATCTGAGGATTCCCCCAGCAAAGGGCAATCCTTGGCTGCAGTAAAGCCAGTCAATTGAGCTTTGTCACCTGTTTCTCACCAATTTTTGGGTAGGAGCGGTTTAAGGCTGGTGGGGGCACACTGGGTGTGTGTGTGTGTGTGTGTGTGTCAAGGACAATATACTCTGGCAATCATGGTCCAGTGGAATGGTCCTTAGAAGACTTTTCCAGCAGCCATGATTTACAGCAGTTTGATGGCTGCTCTAAATTGTGTCTGTGGCCAGCTTTGTCCTTTGGCTATCCTCAGGATTGGGGGCTTAGAAAAGGTGATTTAGAACTACCTGTGTCTTCCTTCCCCATTGTGCTGTTTATGAGCTCAGCAAAGCCCAGGATGCAATCTTAAATTTAAGACGGGCTATTTAAAGTATATGCAACTAACAGTCATCATTGTGGGCTATGCTTGACTAGGGAGGCAAGTAACTATCACAACAGGTTCTAGTTTATGGTCACTAGTTGTTCATGCCACCCCTTTCTCACGTTACCAATTAATTCCGATGCATTACACCAGTTCTCAGAGGGCTGAGGTGCTCTTTGAAGCATATCTGGATGATTATCGGACTGCATTGCCAAGGATGTGTCTTGAGAAAGGGAAGATCAGATTGGAGGGATTTATTAGAGATGCCACTCAGAGTTGTAGAGAATTTGATTACTGGAAAGGGGCCAGTGTGGACAGCTTTTATTTTTATCATTTGTTTACAGCTCTGTACTTTCCTGTAGATATATTATGGTAGGTATCTTGTAGCAGCTATTATAGATAATTAAGGTTGCAAGTGGTTTACATTATAACAGCTCTTTTTTTATATGCCCATAACTTTCTGCAACTATTCATCTTTTAGGCTGAAATTTTCTATGCTTATGCCTGATGATGATTTGGGTTTTTTTTAATAAAAAGTTTGAACAAAATTAATTGACAGTTCTGAGTTATGGGACAGTAAAACACATTTTTGCCAATGGCTTTAATCACCCTTGCCCCCCTCCCCATCCACCCCCCAAAACACACCCTAACTATACTTTTCTTATCAGGGTTAATGCAAAAATTGGGTAAAGTTTAACATTTGGCATACATAGTTCTGAGTTTTGTGTATTTGCTTAGCTTTGGATAAATACGTTTAAAATACAAAAAGATGATTGAAATAAATAATCACTACTGAGCAGGACAGTGAGCATCTGCTAAGATTTTTAGCACATTTTCATTAACTACTCCCATATGTGACAGCACTGGACATTCTCTCTGCTGGAACTCATTAGAGAGTTCACGTAGGAGCAGGGGCTGCTGTTCTCAGTCTGCTGCTAACACTATTAATATGGGATAGATTGTAAATGCACCATTGATACACATAGCAAAAACTACAAAGTATGTTCTCTCCACAAGTTTTACTGTACTCTGCAATATTCTGCAGATTGTAATCTCTTACTTTACAAAAAGTCAGAGAATACCAGACTGGGAGTCAGGACAGCTAGGATCTAGTCCCAGTTCTGCCATTGGCTCACTATGGGAAGCTAGGCAAATTGCCTCCTCTCTGTGTGCTTCATCTGCCAAAAGGGGATAATGATCATAGAATCATAGAATAACAGGGTTGGAAGGGACCTCGGGAGGTCATCTAGTCCAACCCCCTGCTCAAAGCAGGACCAACCCCCAACTGATGTTTTATCTGCCTTTGTAAAGCACTTTGGGATCTATGGCTGAATACTACATACATATTAAGTATTATTCTACTGCACTATAGCAAAGATACAGCCAGTATAAAATAAACAGTTGCAGTGTGACTGCTGTGTTAGGTTTCTGCAAGAAGGAGTTATCTTCAGCTAAACGATAGGCCTGATTCTACTAAGCTCAGCATGCCTCCTTCACAGTGCCAAGCATTCTCAACTCCCACTGAGGTCAAATGGGGACACTCATGCCACCCTCATACAATTCACTTCAGTATGCTGTATATTTGAAAGCCTAACTGGGAAAATGGAAATAGTAAATCCAGGTATTTTCCCTTTTTTACTTTATTTATTTATTTAAGAAAAAGATTTCAAATGCAACACCATCTTAAAACTTTAAGGTGCAGTTAATTTTTTTTAAAAGTTAGAAAATAGAGCGGTTCAAGTTTCAACAGTAAAGTAAGCTCAACTGCTTAGATTGTAAGCTCTTTAGGGCCTTGTGTACAGTGCCTAGCACAGTGGGGTTTCTCCCTGACTGGAATTTCCAAGCACTAGTCTATTCTCCTGGTTAAATGTTAAGCTTAATACATTACTGTTTATGTACTAAAACATATTCCATTAAACATATAAAAAGGCATAATGTGTCCACATTACTATGGATTATTTACATGGGTATATTAAGGCTGAGAAACCAATCACTCAGGAGTCAAGAAATGCAGAGATAATGTTGAACATTCAATTTGAACTCTGCCTCCTTGTGCATATGCTTTAAAGCACAGTCATTCAACATGGGAGGCAGAGAAGGTAAGGTACTAAAGTGGGACTCATAAGACCTGGGTTCTATTCCCGGCTGTCACTGGCTTGCTGAGTGACCTTGGGCCAGTCACATCCCCTCTTTGTGACTAAGTTTGCCTATATGTAAAATGGGAATAAATATTGACCTATTTATAAAATGCTTTGAGATCTACAGATAAAAAGTGATCAATACATATGTATGTTATGGATTATTTTTAGCCTAAAAAATTAAAAGTTACACAGCTTCCAGAACTTGCAATTTCTTAGATTCAGAGCTTTTTGGCTTGACATCTCTTGAATGCAGACTTTCTAATGTGGTTCAGCACTCTAGACCACTCTGCTTTTCAGTGTGACATATGACATTATCCTGCAGTATCCTTGTAGCGGGGCAGTCAACCCACTCCAGTCAGAAAGGGATTAAAAACTGCCAAGGCAGGCTGGTTGGGTAGTCAGCCACAGGTGTGGTTGCACCCAATTAGGGCACAGCTGGCCCTGATAAAAGGGCAGGCTGAGAAAGGAGACTCTTGCTCCAGCTGGGAGCAGAGAGGACCAGACTGCCTGGGAGAGCAAGCAGGGTACCTGAGACAGAGCAGGGCTGGGGAAGGGCAGGCAGAGCTGAGGCGCTCTGGCCTGGTGAGTTCTCAGGCTGAAGCCTTGCTAAAGGCCAGGGGAGGTACTAGGGCTGCAGGGAGGCAGCTGGGGTTACAAAGGCAGCAGGTCCAACCCTTGCCAGTGCTGAGTGCCCCTGAGAGAAGGGTCTAGATGATGACTGGCATAGCCACTGAGGCAACGTGAGTATAGGGGGTTGAGGTTCCCCTGGAAGGGGAGACCCAGAGTGTGGGGGCACTGCCGTGGGGCGGCACCCCAAGGTAAGGGGCACCGAGGGCCAGGACTGACATGGGGCCAGAGGTGGTGGAGACAACAGGGTAGGTAAACAAGGGCGAGAAACTGGCCAGAGGAGGGTGCTCCTGAGCTGGATGAGCTAATGCCTGGACTGATCAGTAGGAGGCGCCGTGCTAGTGAGTTGGTGCTCTGCTACATATGGTGGAGAATGTGGGCATTTTCGGCCCACCCCAATAAAAGGGGAACTGTGAGGACTGGGCAAGGTGTGCCAATATAGGGGAAGGGGATGATGGATCCCGCCTAGGTAGAGGGTTTTTTTTTTTTGCAGAGGGCTCTTATGCCATCCCTGGCTGGACTCCAGCATCAATGCCCCAGCGAAAGGGGACTGGTGAGCAGTGAGGAAGACTAGAGACTCTGCTACAGGTGAGCCAGGAGGGACAATGGGAGATGTATTGGGCCCTGCAGGAACAGAGGGGGCAGCTGCTTGATAAACAGCGAGCCCTTGTAAGACTACTGAGGAAGGAATCCAGGAGAGACCACAGAGTGGTGAGAAAAGCCCTGCGCCAGGAGGCCAGTGGCGGAGTACAGGGCTTGTTATGCCTGCAGGAGGCGTGGACATTTATGGAGGGATTGTTCCTACTGGGATGGGGGCAAAGTACTTCACACAGAGCAGGGGAAGGGACAAGGCCCTGGGAAGGCCCGCTGGGTGAGGAAACCCAGGGGACGATGGACATGTTGGGCCTGTGGGCAAAGTGGACACCTGCAGTGGGAGTGCCCATGCCAAGGTGGAGGGTCCAGTTGAGCTCCAGCAAGAAGGGGGGACCCAAGACAGAGTATGAGAGGCCCAAGGCAGCAGATGGGCAGGGAGTCTACTTTGGCTGCTGCAGGTAGGGCCATATTAAGAGGCACTGCCCCCCAGGGAAGGGTGGCCAAAGAAGGACGTGCCTGGGAACCCAGAAGGGGCAAAGATGAGCATGATCAACACTGCTATGAAGGCGGTAGACCTGCCAGAGAGCCACCAGCGTGAGGTGGCAGAAAAGGGGACTGAGACACAGGCTGAGAGGGAGCAGGCTATGACAGGAACCCAGGCCCGCCAGACAGCAGAGTCAGAGCTGGAGAAGGCCAACAAGGAGAAGGAAGACCTGGGCCTGCGGTTGAAAGGAAAGTGAAGAGAAGTGAATGTGACTGGCAGGACATCTCTGGGTCACAGAGGCTAGAGGACGCCCCCTACCGCCAGGGCATGGGACTTTGAGAGAGAGAGAGAGAGAGAGAGAGAGAGAGAGAGAGAGTGTGTGTGTGTGTGTGTGTGTGTGTGTGTGTGTGTGTGTGTGTGTGTGTGTGTGTGTGTGTGTGTGTGTGTGT